GTATCTCTGTATCTTGTATATGTAAACTGTTCTAGAAAATCCTATATTTTCTGTTGTATATGAAAAGTAGTTTTATTCCCATAAAACCGTTCTCTTTGTATCAATGTTTTGTATTTGTATTCCTTTATGAAAACTTGTAACTGAGAGTGTGCCTGGCTCCACCAGCTGTTATTGAAAACTGTATTGAACCATTGTAGTTTGTATTCTGAAAACTAGTACTTTGAAGGTGTACTTTCGTTTACTTGTTTATACACTAACGTATTGTTAATATCTTTTTAATGAGTTCTTATAACCATACTATGACGGATGGCCTGAAACAAACGCTTTGTGGGCGTTTAAACTGTTGATAACAATTGCCACTCATCGGCGTGTATGCCTGACTGTAGCTAGCAGCCTTAGTGTGGGGTTGTCAATCCCGATATAGATCTAAAACAACTTGTTTCGATCCCCGAGGCTGGAGATTCTGGTTATAATGTCAGGGCTTTACCTTGGTTGTCTAAAATGAATTAAACAACCTGAATGTCTCATAAAAAGCATATAAACGTTACATGTATATTAGTTTAAGAAAACCCAATCATTCTGAAATAAATGATTGACAGTATGTTCTTGATTTAGTATTTCAAACATGTATTTGATAAGTGTAAACCTTGATTTGTTCTGTATCAAAACCCTAGTTTCTTGTAAGACTGTGTATTCTTGTATTGTGAATTCTTGTTCTATGTATAAATTATACCTATTATAATTTATATGTACTTTCTGAATGTGTATATAACTGTATTTAGCATGTAACCCCTTGCTCAACGTGTTACAAATGTGTTTGAATTGATGAAATAACTTTTATATTTACATACATACACAATTTCATATACAAGTAAAATTTAAAAGACACTCGGACAAATAACCGGAACTATAAGCCCACATCCAAACAAGGAAAAGGACCCATAATGAGTTATCAGTCCTAAGCCTTTTAAATCTTATTTATATACATATATATATACAAATATGAATTTTGGGGAAAAATATAAGATTATAAAAGAGTTTGATGTTTTGAGTATTTTTAGATAATTTAATGTTATTTTATCATGATTTGAATCATGATTTTATAACACAAAGTTCTTGTGTTATGCTTGTATTCCCCCCCTTAAAACAGTAGAAATTATGAAAATACGGGGGTATGTACTCACTTGATAGATGGTGAACCGGACAGAGTTTCGTTTCACGAAAAGGAGTTTATTTGTCGAGAAACTGGCTCAAATTGGGCAGAGTTTCGACAGGAGAGAGTTTACTTCTAGGGAATCTCGGGGCTTCGAGGCTTGCTTAGGGTTCGAGACTTGATACCGGGGCTTTAGGGTTTGTGTATAAATTTATGAAAGTGGAAAAAGTGAAAGAGAATGAAAACTAGGGTGAAAAAGTGTAAAATTTCGGAAGCCCTCGCATGCTATATATAGTCCGAAGGTTCGGACCCGAAGCTGTGCGAAGGTGACACGCGTCGGACAGGTGGCGAAGGGATGAGGTTTCTTCGGACCGGAGGCTCGCTGCTGGCTGGCTCGGATTGGACCAAACCTCGGTCCAATGGGAAGAGACCACGTGCGAAGGAGGGTGTCCGAGGGGTGTGCGAGGGTGAGGTCCGGTGTGTCTCCTGCGAGGTTGTCCGCTTCTTAGTGGACCTCGGCTGTGGTCCAATCAGGAGGTGCCACGCATGGGTTCGATCCACTCAGCAGCTGCCACGTGCGAGGGTGACGTGGCATGCGAAATTGCCCGGTTTTTCCCATTTTTTTCTTTATTTTTGTGCCAAACTTGCGAAAATCATAACTTTCATATACGAGCTATGTTTTAGGCGTTCTTTATATGCACGCGTAGGTAAAATCATAATCTACGACTTTCGTTTAGACTTTGTCGGCTAACTTTGAGTTTATTTTTAATATTATTATTTTAAACAGACCGGGACGAGAATCCGTTAAAAATTCATAACTTCTTCATCTGACGTCCGTTTTCGTCTGTCTTTTTACCGTTGTACTACTACCGACGAGACCTTCAATTCTCGTTTAGGTTGTGTCGGCTAAAAATCGCTCGATCTTTATTTCGAGTTTTTAGCTGTACACTGCTATACTGAAACTTAGAAAAATCATAACTTCGTCATACGAAGTCAGATTTTTCCGTTCTTTTTATGAAAGTTCTCGGTTTAACATAAACTACAAGTTTCAGTTAGATTGGTAAAGCTAAAAAGCCTTTTATCGAAAATTCAGTTTTTACACTGAATAGTATTTTGCCGGTTTTGTCGCGGATTTTCGATTGGTCATAACTTCTTCGTTATAACTCGGATTTTAGTGCTCTTTATGTTTTTTGAAACCTTGTTACAATCTCTATCACTTGGTTCATCCCAATCGAGATTGCTAAATAATTTATTTTTGAGGGTCAATTATGTAAATATGCACATTATGCTAAAAATTCTCTTTATTATTATAAAAAGAACTACACATTGACCTATACTGTTACATAGGTTTGAAATAACGATTTGTTACAGAGCCTAAAGAGATTTTCTGTGATAGTGAAAGTGCAGTTGCTTTAGCCAAGGAACCATGGGATCACGGGAGATCTAAACACATCGACAGAAAATACCATTTCATCAGACATCGAATAGAAGAAGGACTCCTCGTGGCAAAGAGGGTATCATCAGATGAGAACCTAACAGATCCCCTCACGAAGGGACTGGGTAGGGTTAAGCATCTCCAGCATGCGGGGCGCATAGGGCTGAAGGATGATCTTAGTTTTAGTAATTAGATAGCTTTGAAATTTGTAAAGTGTAATTGACAATTGATGATAAATAAAACTTGTTGTTTATTTATAAGTAAAGTGTTGCTATCCTCTGTCAATCGTTTACTATCATTTCATTTTGCATGTTTTGACTTTCAGAATAATTATGTTATGGTATATCATATTATTCAAATTCTCCACAGTCGGTCGTATGTTGGAAGTAGATATGAATCAAGACTATCATGAGTTCGCTTGTAGATGTCTAAGATGTTGGACATAGCAAGAGTTACTACAACACTCATTAGTGCTCATAAGTTCTGAGTATCGGATTCAACCCACGCTCACTTGTATCACTTCATGGAATTTATCTCGAGTGATCGTGATACGGTAATATCATATGAGTCTTCAAACCTAGAGATATGAGTTGTTGACTATGAGTTGGTTATACATTGATTGTACAAAAACGCATTGGTAACTCGATGTTATAAAACGTGCCTTTGTGTATGATTCAACAAGTAGTAGAACAAGCATATGAGTCGAAGTTTATATGTTCCTTCTTGGATTGGAAGCGATATCTGGGCCCCTCGATGATTTGGTTTTGACCTATGTATCAGGCCCGGTCAGAACTTAATTGATGTGTTTGATTAAGTTCTATGTCAAACAAATCAAAAATCAGGAAACAAACTGTTGGACAATAAGTAAGACAATGTTCCATGTATTTGTCCGGCTGATATCCAGAACAGAGGATTATATGATCACTTATCTTAAATGGCGTATCATCATAATCTCAGTTCCGCGAGATCTTGAAAGAGATACGATTGTTGATCGGTTACTGAAGCCATACTTGCAGTTATAGTTATTAGACTTATCCAAGTGGGAGACTATTGGATAAGGTGTCTAAGTCCATAACTATTTCTAGTATGTACTTGACCCGGTTGGCATGGTCCATTTGGGTTGCATGGCATTGCAATACTTGGATAGACCAAATGAGAGAAAGGAGACTTAAGGTTTATTATTATATTATAAGTTCAAATATATTAATAATATTATTTGATTAGTATTAATCAAGAATTAATTTGGAATTAATTAAGTGATCAAAAGGAGACTAATTAAGTATATGGGGTTGATTGTGTAAATCATCCATTCTTGTATAGTGGGCTAATGATCCATGGTTTTGGCTAAAACCCATAAGGTGCTCCATGAATAGTCCATGGAGGTTATAAACCCATAGATCATGGAATATGAAAAGCCATGCACATTAGGGTTTACATGGAGTAACCCTACATGTGGCACACTATATAAGAAGCCCTATGGTAAGCAAAATCGGCCACTAAGTGAAGAACTAGAGGTCTAGCCAATTTTGAGTGTTAGTGAACTTCTCTCAAGGTTATTCCAAGAGTTGTGGTGTTGTGTGAGACATTTGAGGCATCACACTTGAGGTGCTAGGCTCACAAGGTTCTCCAGGAATCCAAGAAACAAGAAAGGTATGTTTTCTTACTTGCTTTTATGATTCAAGTTCCCCATGCCATGCTAGATAGGTTAAGAACCTTGGAAATCAAATTTGCATGTATCTTAGTAAAACATAGATCCAAGGTTTCTACGGTTTCATGTACACCTTAGGAGTGTTAGAATGCTCAAAACCCTTCAGGGATATCAATCTCGAGGATAAACTTTGTTTCTGTAAGAGGAGCCGTGTTGCGGACATAATAGTCATCGAATTTGACATCAAAACTTTCGACTATTAGTCTTGTTTTTCTTATAAGAACTCTGTATGCAACTTTGTTTGTTGAGTAACCCAAGAAGATGCCTTCATAAAACTACGGTGCAAATTTGTTAAGATGATCCTTGTTGTTGACCACAAAACAACTACAACCAAAAATGTGAAAGAAATGTACATTGGGTTTTCGATTGTTTAGACCTTCATACGGAGTCTTATTGAGGTATTTGCAGATGATACTTTGATTTTGAACAAAACAAGCACTTGCCACTGCTTCAGCCCAAAAGTAGAGAAGTATGTTGACAAAGTTGAGAATAGATCTTGCAGCTTCGACCAACGTTCTATTCCTCCTCTCCACCACTCCATTCTACTATGGTGTGTATGGTGCCGAAAAGTTATGGCTAATCCCTATTGATACCAAAAAGCTATTCAAGAGTTGATTTGTAAACTCTGTGCCATTATCACTTCTTATTCTTCTAACGGGAAGTTTGATCTGAAGCTCTATATCTTTGATGAAGTTGATCAAAATATGTGGTGTGTATCTAGAAACCTAAGCACACACTTCCTCCATCTCAAGATATCAGATCAATATCAGAATGCCACATCGCAGTCCACGATTTCATCATCGTCTCCACAAACCGCCGTCAACGGCGAAGAAAATGAATGCGACTGGGTCTGGAATGAAATAAAAGATGAACCTCGCCTCGACGCCGAATTCGAACCAGCCCTCGCCGGTCACCTCTACTCCACCATCATCTCCTACTCATCTCTCACATGCTTTCTCTCTTTCCATTTAGGAAACAAACTCTGCTCCTCTACTCTCCTTTCCACCCTCCTCTATGATCTTTTCCTCAAAACCTTCTCCTCCGACCCATCTCTCCTCTCCACCACCATTGTTGACCTACGCGCCGCCTGTTAACGAGACCCATATGATCCTGCTCCTTCTTGGTTCACTCAAAAAAGGTACATTCTTGATGTTTCATATCTTTTCGTCTTTTCACTTCTTGATCAATTGAGAAGAAATCCATCTAAACTAATCTTGAAAATCTCATAATGAACAGCTTGCTTGTGGTATTCTATGTGATCAACATGGTAAATTATATAGATCGATGAGCAATTGCCACTAATGGTGTAAATGGGAGCCCTCAAATTTGTATAGAGGGTAATGTGTGTTCACATGGTAGTGGAATTTAGTAAGTCTTACTTCCAAGCATCTGGTTTTATGTGTTAATTAATATCAGTGACTTCATTTCTCAGATGTTCTTTATACCTGCTTTTCTACAGGGGGGAATTTGACTTAAGCAATTTTAAAGATGGTATTCTGTCTTCTGCTTTCATGGTTGGACTTCTTATTTCATCTCCTATATTTTCATCCTTGGCCAAGAGGTAATTTTTGTGTCTTTGAATCATTAGCTAAAGCATTACATGACTGATATTTTTTAATTTTTTAATTTTTTCTTTTTTGTATATAAGCACAACATTAATCCTTTTAGACTTATTCGAATTGGATTGTCTGTGTGGACACTTCCTATAGTTGGTTGTGGGCTTTCAGTTGATTTTTGGTCAATCACAATGTAGGATATATTGACTTAACTCAAGAAAGAAATGACATCCCCACAGAACAAAAAAACTCACTCAGTGCTAAGGTGTTTTATTGTGTAAGTAGTAAAGGCATATGATGCTATGATATATGATATGGTGTATATAGTTTTTGTTGTTAAATTTTACCTAAGTTAACCTAATGTTGGTTTAAATGTAATCATCAACATGTTTAATGTCATGTGCCCATGTCAAAACTCAAAACAATGCCTTTGAGTTTGACTGGATTAATTTAATGTCTTTTTTTTGCTAATAATCCTTTTATCTTCTGTTACTTCTCTTTTTTCTTGTTAATGTATCGAACTGCGTGACTAGTAATTCAAATTAATATTGTTACTAGTATAAAAAGAAATTGATGGCATATTACATTTCAATCAAAAGAGAAGACAAAAATGTCATGAATTTCTAAGAGGGCAAATAGCTTGACATGTTACATTTCAGGGATTTACAAGTTTTTAACATTACTGCTATTCACTTTTCTCATGTCATGGTAATAAGTAATAACAATCTACTTTCTTTTTTTCTTTTTATTAGTATTTTACTTTTCATGTGCAGTCTGTTAAAAGAAGCTTGGTGTTGGTGATAGCAACGAGACTCTTTTCTATTTCCGGTTTTGTTTCATTGCTATTTACATAGTATACACCTACGATCAGAAGAAAGTTTGTTTTAGTTGAGGCTTAAAGGTTGGTTTTAGTTTCTCTTTACAAAATCCCAATAAATTTATTTGGATTTGTTGGTTTATGTGAATCTAATGGTTGCATTATTCAAATTTGCAACTCTTTTTTATGTGCATAGTGTCAAGCAAAGTAGCTTGGATGATGTGAAGGTGGGCAACATGTTATTATAGTTCGACTATTATTTGTTGATGACTTCCATCTCTTTCACAATTGATGTATTACATTTGTCTAATATTGGAACGATTATTTGTATGACATTAAATTTTCTGTAATGGATTGTATTTTTTGTGTATGGTATTTTATTTTCTATTATGAGACATTAAATGCAAATTTAATTTGATAATTAGTAAATCTATAAATATTTTTTTTAACATTTAAAATTACGATACGCAAAAATGTGTCTCATCTTCATTTATGACATGGCCTTTATTGACAGGCACTTTAATGATATGCATTGTGTGTCGTAAATGCGCGTCGTAAGGTTACGCATTTGTGTCTCATCTACACCCTTTTATGACACGCAATGCGTGTCATTAAAGGGTATTTTTTTAATAGAGCTTCATCGTCCTCCTTGCACATAGCCTGCATGATTAGTTGCTTAGTTTGGGCACCCAAAGTAGTTTGGAGCCGGTGGTAACGTGGGAAACATTTATATTAAGAGGATGCATGTGGGAGTCATGAAGAGATTTATTTTTCCATTCTTGTCTATATCCATGATGTTCAACTTTCCTCTGAGCATTTCGAGGTAGGAGTTGATGTTTCTCTTTTGTCAATAGATAAAAACAAAAAGAGAGGTTTTTTTCATTAATCCACAGACCATACTTGGTCAACGGTCTGAAGAGTGTGGTCTTCTTCTTTGGACTGGTCATTGGATTGTGTTTTTTCGGAGTGTCTGATGAGTTTGAGGAAGGCTTGTTAAAAGGCCTAGATTTAGGTGTTGACATTTTGATTGATTGATGGGTTTTCAAAGAATGTGAAGTGTGTAAAATACCCTTATTTTTTTGGTTCTTTTAAGGAATTTTTTTGGTTCTTTTAAGGCCTAGATTTAGGAATTTTGCAAGATCCATCAATTGCAGTGTCATTTTGAAAAGTTTTTGCAGTGATGGGTTTTTCAAATTTCCTTTTGTTTGAAAATTTGGCCTGTTTTTTGAAAGTTTTATTCTTGGATTCAGTTTCGCTCTTTTCATGATAGGATATGATCTCATTTTTCAAGGCCAATTTTGCTTCAACTTTTGGTGGAACAACATCAAAAACATTTAACTGAGGTTTTTTGAAATTATTTGTTTGAGATAATGACATAGGAGTTGAATCATCAGAACTAGAGAGTTCATGATATTCAGAACATTGTCCAAACTCAAAATTATCAATAGGTAGTTCATGTGAAATAGGTTGGAGAGTAGTCGTGGACTTGACTGGGGTCTGCAGGATAGTTGGGGGTGAAATAGGTTGGAGAGTAGTCGTCCACAACTGAAATGGGCTGAGAGCTGGGACTAATTGTACTGATGATGGGCAAAAAGCTATCTAAGTTTCCATAGGATTCAGGATGAATTTCCTTGACGAAACAATTATTGCTAAGTTCATGAAGTCTACCGAAGTAACATCGAATGTCTTCAGGAAAGGTCTTGTCATTGACTGGATAATGAAAGGCTCGGTCTGGTGGGACACAGGGATGTATGACATCGAACCGAGGAGGAGAGTTCTCTTCAGTAGGGTACCCATTAGATCATCCCCAATTATACGTGTTGTCAACAGTCCCAGTGTTAACTAAGTTCTCAATGGCTTCACTTTCATTAAATAGTTTTTCAGTTAAAAGATTCAAGCGTACAATTTCTTTTCGGGCAAGATCTCGTTGATTAAAAGCAACATCTAACTGTGTGTCACTATGAATTCTAGCATCTTTTTCTAACAACAAATCCTTTTCCAACATAATGACCTTAAGCTTTTTATCTTCTAGTCTTCCTCTCATATGGTATAGCTCTTGGGTCGCTACGTTCTTTTCATCTAAGGCTTTGTTGTAGTCTGAAAGGACAGAAACACATGTTTCATTAAGTCTTTCTAAGTGATATTCACAATCATGCATGCTATAACCATTAGACTGAATCATAAATTTTACCTGTTCGACGATGCTGAGGGTCCCTTCCGTTTCCATGTAGCAGTAATTCCTCTGCAGGTTAGTAGATCAATCATTGTCACTTGCTGCTATCATGAAAATCTTCCCTCTTTTCCTACTCTTGTCAGGTTCTTCGTCTTCATCACCCGAGGACCACACCTGATGATCCCTTTAAACCTGGGCTACACATGCCCTTGTCTTTTCTTTCTCCTTATCCTCCATTTCCTGAGCCATTCTGAGATAGAATGGTTTGTCCTTTACCACATTTGCTTTAAAGTCACATGCAAAGTGGTTTTCTTTGTGACACTTGTGACAGGCCAAAACTCCATCCTTGTTGTCTTCGGTTACAGTAACAGAGTCTTGTGATTTGTTTGTTCTGCGGGTTGAAGTTTTGGTTGAATGGTAGCTTAGTAAACTGTTGGTTTTTGTGAAAAGTGGGTGGTGGGAGTCTGTTGAACTATTGACTGACGGGGGCTATGGCATTTTGAAATTCTTCCTCATAATCTAGTTCAACATCAGCTTCATAAGACTACAGAGAGTTGTCATATGACTGTTGGTAGGATAACTCTCTAGGAAAATAATATTGAGGAGCTTTGATGGAAAAATGAGGAGTTTGATCCATTAAAGCAAGTGGTCTACCCAAGTCTGCACATTCTTTTAACACCATGGACTCTTGAGCCTGAAGTGGACCGTTGAGTTTGAAAACTGAAAGAGTCTGAATCTTCCTGTCACCCTAAACTATCATCTTTGCGGTAGTCCAGTGTCTTTCTATACCATTCAGCAACTACAAGTTGGTTTCATGGTTGCTTCGGACAATACCAGCATTTTACAGTTTCGTGATTATGAGGTTGAACTTTTTGAATGAATCGTCAAGACTCTCACCAGGCAGAGCTTTGAAGTTGGTAAATTCATTGAGGGAAGTAGTGAGTTTCTTTTGTTGAGCTTGTTCAGACCGCTTGTAGATATTTTTGAGCACATCCCAAATTTCTTTGGCAAATTCACAGTTGATGATGTTGTCAAAGTTGTCTGGAGCCACACTACATGAGATTTCATAGAAAGAAATTGCATCTTTCTCCATTTTTTCTAGATCATTGTTGGTAGTTTTATTCATGGTTGCTGGACCACCTCCAAGTCTAGCCTGAGCACCATCAGCTGCAATGTGTGTGAGAATAGGGACATGAGGTCCTTCTTCTACAGATCTCCATACATCTCTTCCGAGTCTCTTTAAATATCTCTCCATTCTTTGGGACCAATGATGATATTCACTTGCAACAAGTATTGGAGCTCTGTTAGAACCTCCAACAATATTTCAAATGTTTAATGAATAAGCTTGTGCAATTTTTCCTTGTTTTTTTTAAGATAATGAGCTTTTACTGGTATAGATGGCCCTTTAAATCAGAGTTTGTTGAATAGAGTTTAGATTTTCTGAAAAATATTAAAAGGAATCCACTTTGGCTCTGATACCAATTGTTGAGAGAAAAACTTGATAAACGTTAGTTACGAGATTATAAGTTGCGGAATAATAAGTTAATC